CTCCCTCCAGTCCCTGGCAAGTGTGGGGCCCCCAGGTCCCCTTGTGTGTGTGGCTTGTGTCCCAGTCGCTCCCCTGTCCCCTTCCGCCCCCTCGCCGTGCAAGGCCCTGTGCTTGCCCCCCACGTAGCCAGCCCATCGCCAGGGCCTCGCTGCCCACAGTCAGGGATGCAAATAAAATAAAGGCAGGGGGCGAGGGGGAGCAGCAGCCTGGGAATGGCAGTGCCTGTTGGTGTTACACAAATGGGCACTGCTGCACTCTGCCATAGCCTTCTGCAAACCCAGGCCAAGGGACAAGCCTTGGCCAGCTGAGCTGGTGAAATTGGCAGCAGGCTAGCTGAGTGTCTATGCAATACACAGGCCTGTCCCATATCCCCTAAGCATGACCCCACTTCTCCCCGTCTATCAAAACCCTGCTCTGTCCCCACCTGCAGTTTTTCTCTCTGGAATCTGGTCACGCTACACCTACCATCACCACCTAGCCAGTCACATATTGTCATTTTAGCCGCCTTCTTGCCTGAGGAGGCCTACAAGGCCTGGTCTACACCAAAAACGTAGGTAGCCCTAACGACATTGCTCAGGGCTGTGAAAAACTTCATATCCTGTGCAACATAGGTCGACCTAACCTCCACTGTAGATGCAGCTAGGTCAACGGAAAAATTCTCCCATTGACCTAGCTACCGCCTCTCGGAGACGTGGATGAACTACATCAAGGAAAGACCCCTTCTTCTAGTGTAGGAAGTGTCTACATTACAGCACCATTGCTGTGCCAGTGTGGTGTAGTGTAGACAATACCCCAAGTGAGCTCCCTCTCTTGCCACTTCTCTGTACATTCAGATCCATGTGGAGTTAGAGACTTTGAATGTGATAAAGAATAAGTCTGGCAGAGACAGTAAGGGGGGAAGTGAGTATTGCCAACCCCAAGTTTTCAAAAATCAGGTGACAACACTCATAATATTGTCTGAAAAATCATGAGATTTTAATAATAATAATAATACATTTTGTATTTTTTATTTGCCTTCTGGCTTTTGAGCCTTTAGGGTTCATGGCAGGCTTTACTCTGCAACCAGTGGGGTTAGAAACTTCCTCTTTTTAAAATGAAAGCTGACTCCACAAGATAAAGCTTTAAGAAAACCAACAAAATATCAAGCGACTTGCATTAAAATTTCAAGGGTTGGCAACAGTGAAAGGAGAAAACAAGGAAAAAGAAAAATGTAGAAAATGAATTAGAGGAAAGAATATGCATTCTTTTCTCTCTCCACACCTAGCTGCCAAACAATCATGTGCTCCCCCTTCCCAGCACCACAAAGAGTCCAGGACAGGGGGAATGATACAACAAAGGGTAGAGGAGAGCCACAATGAGGGGGGTGGGTGGAGTGCTCTTGCACTCTGTAGAGTTCCATAGCTGTGAGAGTACATAATATAAACCAATGGTGATATTGATGTGCAAATCTCCTTTTTTGACTTAGAAAACATACAAAGTGAATACACAAAAAGAAGAACAGGAGTACTTGTGGCACCTTAGAGACTAACAAATTTATTAGAGCATAAGCTTTCGTGGACTACAGCCCACTTCTTCGGGCTGCTACTCTGAAAAGTGAATAAAAAAACTTTTTTGAATAAAATGGTTGTCACAGTTCAGGGCAACTGCACCTGTATTCCCCCTCCTTGGTCCAGCAAGGGAACCCATTCTAGGCTCTCAGCTCCAGGCTCCGCAGTTGCCAGTTCTCTTGGGTAGAGACCTATGTCTCTCTCCCTTCTGACCGGGGTATTTCCAGGCTGAACAGTTGCCTGCCTCCACTGTGTTATACCCCAAAAGATAGACAGCCTTGGCAGGCCTGCTTTGCTGCTCTGCTCAGAGACAGTAGACAGTGTAATTACCCACAGTTATAAGTTACCATACAGCTCTTTCTAAGCAAGCACTTTTATTCTTAAGCTAAAAGCACTACAGTCAAATCACATTAAAAACAATAAAAGAACCTACACTCATGCTAGTAAGCTTACCAGAGATCACCCTGCCCCAACAAGGCTCTGACTGGTGATTAGTCCTTCAAATCCCTCCAGTTCATAACAGTTTTCTCTCAGAACTTGCTCCCATATCTAAAAGGGCCTCAGTGGACCAAAAACTTTCCAACCCTTCCCTAAGGATTGGGGCCCCACTTGGAGCAGAGGTCTGTCCGTTTGCTGGATCAGAATGAAGCACTTGAGTCACTTTAGCTCAGGCTATTTAACCAAAAATCTTTTCTTTGTTGGACAATTCCCTGGATAATTCAGTTTGAACGAGTATAGGCAAGTCTCTCTCCAGGTGGTGGTTGCTCTCTGAAGGTGTTACAAAATGAGTTAATTTGCCCAATCACGTCCCCCCACCCCACCCCACTCCCGAACTCCCACTGTTCTTAGTTCCTGAAAGGCTGTGATCCCCTTCCCCCCACAGAAATACATCCAGTCCCTTAAAAGTGCATAAACTTTTGCATTTTTAATCTAATGAACTGTTAAAATACTTAAACTTAATTTGATAAGGTTTAATTTAATTCAATAAGGTTTGCCTAGGATATTGTCCTAGCTGTCACAGTGTTTAATGCTTGCAATTACAATTTTCAAAAAGCTTAAAATGACTGGCAATACTAAAGTCTTGCAGTTACAAGTAATTAAATACCAAGGTTCTCATACTAATTTTAACTTTTTTTTCATACTGCACATATTGAATACAAACTGTATGTGTAGTTCTGAGAACAGAATTGGGCTTATTGTCTATTAAGGCTACCTTTAATAACTTAAACCCCAGTCCTGTAAACACTTATACATATGCTTAATTTTACCACCATGAGCAACCCTAAGGATTTTAATGAGACTCCTCATGGTGGTAAAGTCAGGCATCTGCATAAGTGTTTGCAAGCTCAGGACTCAAGTTATTAAAGGTAGCCTTAATAGATAACAAGCCCAATTCTGTTCTCAGAGATATACATACAACTACAATTTTTTGAAATAGGACTTGTACAGTTGTATCTGAGGGCAAAACAGGATCCTGTATATACACAGTACACCTGTTAAGGTTACTGTGACATCCTTAACTTTTGCAATTCCTAAGTTCTGATTGTTAAAACTGTATGCATAGTATCATATTGATGTAAGTTTTGTACCTAACATATTCAAACAGAAAAAAGGAAACATTTCATTTGACAATAGCTTTATTATGTACTTCGAAGCTTTTTGATATTTAAGCATTAAAAGCTATGTTTTTAAAGTGGTGTTGGGATGGGTTACTGTGTATGTGGAAATCACTAATGTGTATAACATTATATTGAATAAAAACTTTAGTTCCAATGATCAGGTTGGCATAACATTGGCATAATAGTGTTTCGCACAGGTTTCCATTACAATGATGTCAGTTTCTTTAAGTGCTGAGCTTTAACAAAGGAAGGGTTCAATTGCTGCTCTCTTTTGTTACTAATGGGAAAAAAACAGTTAAATAATAAGAGATCTATGTTAACCATTTTGATGTCCTATGGCTATCTGGAGTGAATCCAGAAAAGCAGCCCTTGTATGTCTGTCCATGTATGCTGAACATTCATATAGTCTACTAGAGTTTTACGTGGCATAGTATCAGTAGTGAAAAAAACTTGTGGGACTCATTGTACAATAGATGTGGGACTCATGTTAATACTAATAATAATCTATTTAAGTTAATATTAATGATTTAACTGAGTCTAAGTAGATATTAAGTCCATGAATACAGTATAACTCAGTTGATAACATTCCCTCTAGGCAAAAATGTTAAGAGATCATGTTCCACAGCAGGCTTTGGGCTCATATCAAATGCTGGCACTGCAGTGCAGTACGGCTCAAAGGGAATTCTGCACACTGATCAAGATGTAATTCTTTGGATGAGATATCACACAGTGGTTTCATTTACCCATCTCTGTTCAGAGAAAAAGTAAAGACCTCAAGACATTTCCCAAAAAGAGAAAGGAATAAATCCTATCTCCTGTTTGGCATTCCCTCTCTCATTAAAACAAGTTCTAATTTCCAGGGCTGTACGTTAGCTGAATCACTGGCTGCATAATAGTTATTCCATCTGTTTATACAGTTGAGTCATTGCATTACCCGGTATCGAATGCGTTATTTGGAAAGAATGTTAGGCTATCTTGAGTATAAAAGGCATATATATATATATATATATTCCATTCTATATGTTCTCCAATACTTTGACACCTTTCACTCCCATTTTAATGTTTTAACAAATGGCTGAAAAGTTAGCTGATAGTACCAGCACAACAAATACAGCAGAGTGAATAGTATTACAAAAATACCCCAAAACAATGCTATATTGCCTTCCTACCTGCAACACTCTTTGCTGCAGGAATTTAATGGTAATGGAGCTAAATTATTTCATAACTCAGTACATTTATTTTCCATTTCAGATATCATAAATTATATAGACAGAGTTTGAGGGGAAATTATCTGTTTTTTATTGGTGCCAAGGAATTGTGGCTATTTGGTCACTTGATTGCAAACTTTCTTCCAAAATATAAACTGTTTGAAAAGACACAGTAAATTTTAAACCTAAATTTTATCTTTTTTTTTTTTAAAGGGGGGGCAGAGAAGGAAGGGGGCCCTTATATGTATCAAAACACTTTTTTGATTTAAATATAAAAATTAAATGAGAACATTTTATTTAACTGTTACCCTGTAGTGTTTCAAATGCAAACAAAATTGTTCTAGTCCAGGAGTAGGCAACCTATGGTACGTTTGCCGAAGGTGGCACGCGAGCTGATTTTCAGTGGCACTCACACTGCCCGGGTCCTGGCCACCAGTCCGGGGAGCTCTGCATTTTAATTTAATTTTAAATGAAGCTTCTTAAACATTTTAAAAACCTTATTTACTTTACATACAACAATAGTTTAGTTATATATTATAGACTTATAGAAAGAGACCTTCTAAAAACGTTAAAATGTATTACTGGCACGCGAAACCTTAAATTAGAGTGAATAAATGAAGACTCGGCACACCACTTCTGAAAGGTTGCTGACCCCTGTTCTAGTCAGTGCATGAGAACCTGAAAATGAAACTGACTAGAAATAAAAATAAAACCAGTCTACTTTCACTTTCCAATAAATGGGCCAGATCTATCTCCCAAATCTAAAGTCAGTGGAAAGACTCCTGTTGGCTTCAGTGGGAGATGGATTGGGTCCCAAGTGAAATGCAATGCAAAGCAAAAAGAAAACAAACATCAGAGGTTCTCAAACTAAGGTCCACAAAACACTTGCTTATGGTCCATGGAGACCTGTCTTTACTCTTCATTTCCAGCTGCTTTTACAGGTCTCCAGGGTTTTTATAGCATAGAAGAACTGGGAGGCTTTCCAAAAGCAGCTGGGAATGAGGTGAAGGAGCCAGCCAGCCAGCCACCCCGCCTCTGCTGTATAAACGGAACAGGAGAGGAACCAAGAGTTACACTTAGCATCTAGAATAAAAAATGGGAGCGGAGTGACCAGGGGAGCAGAAGAAAAGAAAACAAGGCAGCTGGGTGGTTTGTCCAAAAGACCAGGTAGCTGCTGGAGCTAATGTCCAGGAGAAAAGAGAATCAAGCTGTGGGAAAATGTATGCAGAGGAACAGGAGGTCTACATAACAAGCAAGCATGTGTAGTGAAAGAAACGTAAAAGATGGCAAGACAGTAGAGAAGCATGAACAGAGAGAAACAGAACAAATGGGAGGGGGAAAATGAAAGGAAGAGGAAAAGAAGAGAATAATATTAACTTTTAAAAAAAGACACAATGCATTGCATTAAGGCAGTTAAAATACATACATATTTTCCTGATAATACTGCTCAATACAAGCAACTGCTGTAGTTCCCAGAGTGATATTATGTGACTAAAAATGCATGAGGAGTTTTATTACGAGGAATCTCCATTAAGATATGGTCTATACTATCAAAATATTTGAGAATTCCAGGAATAGTAAAAAGTAAACAATATTTTAAAAATTCTTTTTTAATAAAGTAAAGTGTTGTTAGTACCAGTGATAAGGATATTTTAATACAGCGTACTTTTATGTTGATTGTGTGCCTTTTATAAATCTCAATATACTTAACTATACACTTAAATATCACACTGAGCTGTGTCCAGAATTCAAATATTGGTGTCATCACCTGAAGTACTTTCAATGAGGGTCAGGAATACTATTATATGTGACTTTATTGCCTTTACATAGACTACAAGAGCCCTCTGAGGTACCATAAATTAACTTTTCAGAACTGTAACCGGGCACACCCTATAAAACATTCTGAAATATCAGAAGTTACACCAATGAAATACCCTCTTCATATGTGCTTTCTGATGTTATCCACAGTAAAGATTTCACATGTCCAATTCAGCTTTCTGTCTCAAGGGTCTGTTTCACATATTCCTGCTTAATGAGCAATACCACTGAACACTGTCAGACTCATTCACTTTTTGCCATGCTGCCCCCTGCAAATTAAAATGTCTGCTCACAAAAATGAGCATGCTTGTATTTCCCATATATTTTTGATATCAGAAGATTGAAACAAACCCACTTATTGTCTATTTCAGTGTGATATCATTCAGATAAATGTACTCTGTATGCCTATTTGAAAGTTCAATCAATTCTCAACATTTTCTTTCTTTAATAAAAAAACTAGAAAATGAAATGCAAAAAGTCACATTAATTCTGTATTATGGTGGACATTTTTAAGCCCATAAGAGTCAGGAAGTTCAATGTAAAAGGTAAAAGTCAACTGTAATTTGACCATATTGTTTATTTTATATGTTAATCCTTAGAACAATGGCATGGTTCACACTGCCAACCAAATAAATATATTGATTATTATATATAGTCTCCAGAGGCACAAAGTACCACAATTTTATAACATAAAAGTGTACACAAGACACCACAGATGCACAATGGTGCCCAATTATAGCTGCTACAGAAACCATAAAAACTGTACATTTTTGGTTTAAAAAGTTCACCAATAATATTTTACCATTTATTTAACATTTATTTAGTATAAATAATCTGGTTAGAAGATATTTAGAAACTGAAAATATCGTGTGGGTGAAAACATGTAATGACTACATAAGTTCCAGATACTCCCCTAGTGGAAAGTATTGTGGTGGGACATTATTGGGGTAGTTAAAAGAGAGAAAGGTTTCAAAATCCATGCTTTGGTCCAGGCTTTTCCACTGTCCAGTCTCTCCTCATCATTTCTATTGCTGATAATGGTTTTCTTAGTGGGAATATCACAACTGTAGTCACTGCCAGAATCCATTGGCTCAAAATTACTCTCTGAGTCAGAGCTTAATGCCATTATAAGATCTGTAACAGCTGCAGCAGTAATACATCTGCAAGTCATTTGAAAATTTCATAATGAATAAAAAGTTATCCCTCACACAGATGTATACATTATATATGAACCCTACTACCTATTCAGTTACACTTACAGTAACCCGCTCCCCTTTGTATACTATAAACCTTCTTAGTTGCAGTATGACACCTAAAATTTACTATATGGTGTAGCAATAATAATATTACCTAACCTATTCTACCTATTTTAAACAAAAGATAGGACGTTGAAAAAAGAGAAGGGGAATAGAAAGCTATAAAAATTCATAATGCAAAAGTGAACTATTAACAGCTTGAGACTGAGTGAATAATATAGTGAAAAAATAAGGTGACTATTGAGAAACAATGAAAAATATGGACTTTAAATATACAGTTATGAGGTTTTGTTAAGATCTCCAGGGATCCCAATGCCCCCAGCCTGCAATCTGATACCCGATAACACAGCCAAGATTTGAAAAATAAAAACTCAGTATAATAATGAAATGGGTGGGGCAGGTTAGGGTAGAGAAAGGGAAGCTATGAGTAACTATGAAGATTTTAGAAAATAATAAAAAGGGATCAACCAGTGTAAACACAATCCATGGAAGGAAATGTATACATGTCCACCAATTATGAGCTCAGTCCTGCAGGATGCTAAATTCCTCATACAAGGTGCTGAAAACCCTTAACTTAGGAGTTCAAGTTGCTCAACAACTCAGCATCTTGCAGGATTGGGCCCTACGTGGGCTGAAAAACACCAGAAAATGTTATTCTGTATTTATCTAAACAGTAAAAATGAATCAGACAAGAAACACTTTCACCATAAAAACTATGTAGTGACAAGGCAAAATCCTGGCACCACTGAAGCCATTAACTTCAACGGGGCCAGAATTTCACCCATAGTCTCAAAAATGTTTAAAGAGTATTTCATTTTACTTAATCTTTCATTATCTATTGTTTGAAAACTCCTTTTACAAGCTCAAAAGTAAGTTTTGTCTTTTCCCATTTGTTTTACTCTGTATTTTTGTGTATCAGTACAGTATCTTTCATAATATCACTATTGCTCGGGAAACAGGGAATCAACTTGCAGTTCCACAGTGAGGTGGCTATCCATGCAACAGCAGATCACACCATATTTTAGTTTCTATATAAACAAATAGTTTTTAAAATGATATGGTTAGAAAAGTGACTATGTGAAAATGCTTTCTTCCTCAACAGAGCTGCTTCTTATGTGCATTCAGAGCCTGAACTGCTTACTTTACTGACAATAAGTTTTTATGGGTTGCGTATAAAAAAAGACAACATATATCTGTTTTATGATCTAAACCAACTGAGAAAATACATACTGTAAAAATGAAAAATCTGTTAACACTATGAATGGTTCATCTTGGACAGGATCCTGGTGGATTCTTAGACTGATATATGTTTTTAAATCTTATAATGTGTTGTATTTCAGGGCTGTAAAATCCTCTCACCAATGGGATGGCCCAAGCACCTCTTTATGCCAACTGGCAGAGGGCACAGGGATACATGGCAGTGCAGGGATCCCCTGGGTTCACCAAAAGAATGTCATGCAAGGTCTCTAATGAAAGTCTGTGTCACACTGGTCATCCTAATCACTGTGAGATGTATGCACAGAAAATGTGAGGATTTATGTATATATGCTGAAAATTACCTGCTCTAGGCCTTGTAGTTAAATGCAAGTCATTCAAATTGAGAAAAAACTTCTCCAGACTGGAAGTGGGAGATACTTATTTCCTTGGTGGACCATTGTGTACTGCGTGTTTTACAATAGAAATCTATTAGCATATTGAGTGAAATGTTAATGAAGAGCTTGTGGAGACTTCAGAAGGAAATTAACAGGAAAAGGTAAACAAGGGTGGGGAGGGAACCCTGTTTTCAGGTGAAGATCAAAGGTCTGGTTTAGTAAATCTGGGGTGCAGAGACATGCCCTGGCATCCTTCAATCTGTGAAGACACATTGCCAGCAGGCATGATCTTATGAACAGAGGATCTCAGTAATCCTGGTTGAAAATGCTAGGAAAAGGACTTAGGGTAAGTTATTCAGCAGGAAACAGGAATGTTTTGTGAGTTTAGTTTAGGCTCTAGAAAGCATGTTATGGTTTTGGTTTTTATGTAACCATTTGTTTCCAATACTCTTACTTACTGTCATTTGAATTTCTGTTCTTTGATAATAAACTTATTCTTGTTTTCACTATAAATATATCTAAGTGCTGTTTGTTAACCAGAGTGGTGATCCTGAGTTAAAACTAGTAAGCTAGCCTGTCCTGTTCCTTTGTGAGTAATGAATCAGAGAGTTCTACGAGCATTCAGTGGATCAGGAGCTGGGCATTCCAGACAGATGCTTGGAGGACTAACCTGTACAGAGAGAGCAAAGCTAGCAGAGGCCTGGAAGGCAGTGTTTGTGTTGCCAGAGGTTGGCAGAATGAGGGAGCTGATCCACACAGACAAGACTTCTTCATGCTCAGGGTAACTGGTAGTTAGGTGCCTCACAACCCTGGGAAACATCACTAGTGGTCAGAGGTGAAAATAAGCCAGTACGCCCCAGTACGGCTTCCCCTGGCAGCAATTTAAAGGGCCCGGGGCTCCCAGCAGCGGCTGGAGCCCTGGGCCCTTTAAATTGCCACCAGAGCCCTGATGCCGGAGCCCTGGGGAAGTGGCGGCAGGGCTCGGGCGGTGATTTAAAGGGCGCGGGGCGCCTGCCGCAGCTACCGCCTGGGGCCCTTTAAATCATCCCCGGAGCCCTGGGGTAGCGGCGGCGGGACTCTGGTGGCTATTTAAAGGATCCAGGGCTGAGACCGCCCCCTCCTAAGGACTCCGGCGTACCGGTAAGTCCTTTAAGTTACTTTCACCCCGCTAGTGGTGCTTTCAGAGCAGACAGCATCACTGCCTTTGCTGTTGCTCACAGCTTTCCTAAGATACAGCAGAGTAAAACAGATCAGAATGGTCAAGTTCACAGAATACCTGAACAAACATGAAACTGACAATAAACAGATTGTTTTCACTTTGCTGCTTCATGCAAGTGTTGCCAACTCTTTGAATTTTATCATAAGTCTCATGATATTTGATGTTTTATTTAAGGCTCCAGCTGCTAGAATCATGTTATTACCTGAGAAACTCAACTTCCATTTAAAAAAACCCGTTTCTGCATCCCTCATGGTTGCAAGGAAAAACTTGAAAATGTGAACACTTAAGGCTCCAAGAGCAGAAGGTAAATAAATAGAACACAACCTTTATTAATGTTTAACTGTCATGATTTTTAGTCCATCTAATGATTTTTTGGGAACACCTCATGATTTTCAAATACTCTGAGTTGGCAATACCATGCTTGGGAAAGCACTAAGTGATAGCAGAAGCAAATACTGAAGTTATTTGTGGAGAAGGGATACCCAAGGATAAGGAGCCTAGGGTACGGTGATTAAGACCCTCACAGCTTACAGATGGGGTGACCAGGTGTCCGGTTTTCGACCAGAACACCCGGTTGAAAAGGGATCGTGGCGGCTCCGGTCAGCACCGCTGACCAGGTCATTGACTGTCCAGTTGGCGGCGCCTTGGAGCGGGACTGGCAGGCTCTCTGCTAGTCACCATGTGGCTCCTGGGAAGCAGCTGGCATGTCCGGCTCCTAGACTTACGGGCAGCCAGGGGGGTGCGCATGCTGCCCTGCCCCCCAACTGCAGGCGCAGCTCCCATTGGCTGGGGCACGGCAGGAGACGAATTAGCACGCCTAGCAAGTGGCTGTTGAGGGGTTGTGGCGCGTGCCTCTCCCACTGCTGCTGGCCCTCTTCTCCTTGCGCTCCTCCTGTGGCTGGGCTCAAGCTGTGGCTCATGCCCTGCGGTGGACCGCAGTCTGTTGCCCCATTGCTGGACCCCAGAGTTGGAGGTATGTATCCTCATCTCTGAGTGCTGGAAATGGGGCTATACCCCCATCCCCCTCACTGCATCCCTCCCTGCCCCAACCCCTACCTCCTTCACTGCATCCCTCCCCGTCCCATCCTGCCCCCCACACCTACCCATCTCAGCCCTGTACCCCTTACAGCACTCTCCCACCCATCCTCTCCACCTCCCAGAGCCACCACCCTCATGTCCCTCACCCCCCACAGCCCTGCACCTCCATACACTGCTGCACTCCCACTATGTCCCTATACACCTGTGCCCTGCACAGCCTCATGCACCTGTAGCCTTCTGCCTCCCCCTGCATCCCCATCCACCCCCCCATATCCCCTATACCCCCTCCTCTCTCCTTTACTGCCCCTTCTCACCCCCACCCTGCTCTCATCCTTGGCCTCTTTCCCTCCCCATCCTCTCTCCTCTACCCCCATTCCCCATCTTTTCCCCTCCAGCCCACCCTTCTCCCTTCCTGTCTGGGTGTCTCTGTGTAGGCAAGTGTGTGCACGCATGCATTGTATGTGTATAAGAGACTGTCTCTCTTTGTGTAGGGAGGTGCATGTTTGCCGCATGTGTGTATACCTGTGTGAATAAAATTTGCAGCCTAACTCTTTGATTTTTATTCCTTTTGCTGGCTTGCACACACAAAAAATTGATGACATAAAATATGCGTGTATTCATTTCATAACAAGTTTTTAAAAGAGAAGGGAACTCTAAAGGAAATGTATTATTTCTTAAAAAGTGAATGTTGTTGACTAGTAATTGCAGAAGAGCCGATGTATCATACATTTCTCCCTCCCTCAGTCTAGCTACATTATAAACTTTGTTGCAGACTCTCTCTTTTTATGAGTATGTCCAGCACCTACCATCCTGGAGCCCTGATCTTAGTTGGGGTTTCTAGGCACTAAACAATTGTAATAATAAATAACGTGGAAGTATATGTGTTAGTGCATGCTAGATGTGTACACATGAATACACGTGTGTATCTGCATGTAGGTGTCGGAGTCAGTTTCTACAGATTTATTTATATAGGTATATGAACAGGTATGCATTTCTGTGGTTGTGCTCTATGGATTTGTATTTGGGCTTCAGGAGTGGGCCTTTAATGGATCCACTGAAGCTGTGATAATGTGTGGTCCTAATTCCACTCATAAAATTATAATAACTTTAGTGAACAAAAATCATAGAGCTGGTTATGAAAAATGGGAAGAGGGGAGGGAAAATCATAAAAACCTTTGTGAATTTTTTTTAAAAATTACCCTTTTTGACTATTTTGCTGCCAGCTCTAGCGTCCTGTAACAAATAAAACCTGAAATTAGCATAATATATCTGTCAAAACAATAAATATGCCTCTTTGGGCCTTACAGTGAAAATGAGCACAAGCAAGGGTGGGGGAGAGCAAGTGATGGAGGGAGGGGGGATGGTGTGAGCGGGGGCGGGGCCTCAGAAAGGGGTCGGGCAGGGCCTCTGGGAATGGGAGGGGCAGTGGGAGGGGGTAGGGTGTTTGGTTTTCTGGAATTAGAAAGTTGGCAAGCCTACTTACAGCAGCAACCAGGAGGCTGTGGGAAGTGTAGCCTAGCAGATCCCTCTCTGCCCATTGGTATCCATGAGGATGCTGGGGAAGTTTAGAGTAGTGCAGATGTTGTTTCCCCCTCACCCCAAACAACAAGGCAAGAGACTGTGATGAGGAGTTGGGAGAAAAAGCTCTTTCTCGCTTCCGGCAGCTGAGGGGAAGGAGAGGTTGGAAATAAGGCTTCAATTTTATCAGATACCTGCTAAGAGGAGGTTGATATGAAACTCCCAGACCAGGATCCAATAACCTAGTAGGAATCCCCTTTTTCCCTGTCTTCACTAGTAGGCCTCTGGCTAGTAAGTATCTGGAACATTTGTAAAGCCCTTTTGTATCTGAATGTCTACCATTGCTTGACTGTAATTTCAGAATTGCTGGAATTTATAAACAGAGCAGTTGTAGTATATTTTTCTGATGGTGTTAATGTGTATAATGTGTGTCCTGGGGAGAAATGGAACTAGCAGCAGCTTAAAGTTTCTGGATTATATGATCACTTATAGAAGATATATTTAAAAAATGCTTTTCTTACTTTTTACTCCAGTTGGCACTGAAAATAAACAAAGGATGGGAGAACGTAAGTACTATTACCCCATTTTACTAAAGGGGAGCTGAAGTCCAGAGAAATTAAGGTCCAGATCTACAAAGATATTTAGGCTCCTAAATCCCATTGAAATCACTGAAAGTTAGGAGCCTAAATACCTGTATGGATCCGGGCCTAAGTGATTTGCCCAATGTCTCACAGGGAATCTATAGCACTTTAGGCAATTAATCCAGTCCCAGTCCAGTGCCTGAGCCACAAGATCATGCTTCCTCTCACTTCTCACATCCTACGTGCATTTTCCAAAGACTACTTTTCCCTCTAAAGACTGGAGAATTTGGCTCATAGTTTCACATGAGCCCCAAAGAGAGTTTGGGTAACTTAAACATAGCTTGAATTGCTGAATTTGAATTTAAACTGTTAAGTGTGGGGGATACTTTCAGGGGAGGGAATGTATGAGAATGGGAAATGAAAGTGTGGTGGGCTAACCTCCGTTAGCCCCCTTCTGGAGCTTCAAGGAAAAGCCATCATGATCACGGTCCACTGATTTACCTGGGGTACTAGCATCTGTCTAATATGGTATGTGCTGTGGCTCAACTGTCTTTACCAAGCCTCACATGTTCTCCTGTGGAATATTGCATAGATTTTAGGGCACAGAACATTTCCACTGTAGAACTAGCATACAGAACTGAAGCACCTGAAATTCTCCAAAAAAGGTAGCAGGCAATCAGAAAATAATTTGAATAAAAATACAAATGTTACAATTAAGTAGCTTTTATGTGACAAGATTTTAAGTGCTTTAAAAACTATCCATCCAGTGCTATTGAAATAGCCACATGTGGGAGGGAGGGTTGGCACCAGCTGGTGCTCAGCAAACTGCACAGTGGTTTGTGGGGACAGAAAAATGTTGTCTGCTAAAAACCTAAGTATCAATCTTACTGGACCTATATGATACAAGTACATTATACAATACACTATGTATAGTGTACAGTCGGATGCTGTAGACCAACACATGCATCAAATGGGTGTCATTGTGCCATATTTCCCACAACCACCACCACCACCACTGCCATATAATGTGGCTTTCCCCACTATTACATATTGTAAAAGTGCTTCACAGCACTGGGTAAGGGTTTGATTTCCAAAAATAACTGAATGTACGCTGTCTATCAAGGGGAAACAGCAACAGATCTGAAAAAGTACAGTGGGAACTCTATCTTCCTGAAATAAAAATTTAGGATACATCTCCAAAACCATGAAGTGTATGCTATTGTTAAAAAAAAACAAAAAATCCAAAACTATTTAGGTAGAGTAGAATTAGAAATGGGAAAAATCTGGAAAGGATGTTGATGGGATATTTTATTTAAAATCCTAATCCCCACAGACGATTGTCATCTAAAAGAGGAGAAAGGAAATTATATATAAACACTCCACCACCACCACTGCAAAACCTAACCAAAATATTAAAAGAACATTAAGGAAGCAAAGTCAAGCTCTCAGAAGTTAGGAAACATCGAATCAAGGTGGCCTGTGTAAACTTAATTTGCCTCCCTTGTGCACATGGATATGATACAGTCTTAAATTACACAATTGTATGCTACACAATGTAGGATAGGGACCTTAGACTGTAAATTCTTTGGGTCAGAGATTGTCCTTTACTATGTATTTGTATGGCACCTAGCACAATGGGACCCTAATCTTGGTTGGGGCCTCTAGGTGTTCTGGTAATACAAATAATTCAACTTCAAATCCCTGAGTTCACTTCTAGCCTATTGGGGAGGATTTCAGAACAAAGAACTGGTAAGGCTCTTAAAACAGATCCCTTACAAGCAGCACACTTGGGACAGCGTGAAGATACAGTCCCTCTGCACAATTGCCTGAGCCAGCACGACCTCTTCAAGCGTGTAGTTCCAAGTGGACAGAACATTCCACAGAACTGGCATTCCCACTCTGCCACACCTCTCCAGCAGGCTCAGACAGTTTTGGCTCTCATCTTCCAGTACTAATGGAAGAGAGAACATGAGCTATTTGAAGAGTTACCCATCTTCCTCAGACCTTCCTAAATGCTTGGAAAAGGTCCTGGTATTTTCATTATCTTTTTACTGCAGACAAGACAGAGTCACCTTAATGCACATTTAAAAGCAGCTTGGTCAATGACAAGACAGGGCTCAAGTCTCACGTGCTAGGGCTAATGCAACTGTTCAGAAAACCATTTACTTTGAACAGCAGTGATTGTTTTTCTGCTCAGCTGTTCAAAACATGGAACACACTTTGGAAGAAATTAGCTTAAACACCAACAAGTTAAAAGACTTTTCACCTATTTAAAACAGGTCTGAAAAAAGACTACTGACTTCTCTACTGCTAAACCTGTTTACTGGGTTTGAGCTGGATTTCAAAACAAAAAGTCTTTACATTTCTGTTATGAGTAACTTCAATAATTGCATCTGAATTAAAAAAAATCTTATTTTTTATCGATTTCTGCTGTTTCTGCATCTTAATAAACGAAAATAAACCAGTTTCACTTTTAGTTAGATTCTAGTGAGTTTCTCTTACTTTCTCATCTACTTGCACAATGCTACATTATTTGGATTGCAAACACTGCTTTTAAATTTGTATTAAGAATTTTCTGCTGGGTTTTGTAGAACTTGTTTTGGGCCTAATTTGTTTTACTTTTAGAGGTGTAACAGAACTGTATAAACATCATAGGCTGAAAGATTTTTGGTGCAGGACGCATGTCTACCTCTGACAAATGTGTAGAACAATGGGACACAATCCTGACCTGGATGATGTCATCATATATTACATATCATATATTATAAACAAATGATAAAAAAATGATAGGTTAGAAATTTGTAAATCTTTTGATCATTATATCACATTCTGTTTTCAGAGCAAGAGGTGCTTTGAAATTAAACTGCATTCAGAAAAGAAATGCAACTAGTCCTTCTATAACAAGCAACTACAAGAAATCCAATCTGTACTGACACTCTTTTCTACAAAAATCCAGGAAGTTATATTTCTATGGCGATGGTAGGAAGCATAGAGCAGTTAAGGTCTCTTCTCTTCATTGTAGAATACAACACTGACTATAAGACAATATCGTATTAGGGCATGTATTGATTACATTGTGAAGTTATTCCAATGTTGACCTTTATGGCCTGTGTTCTACAGGAGGTCAGACTAGATGACCACAATGGTCCCTTCTGGCTTTGGAATCTATGAAAAGATGTGGAGAAAAGGGTCACCATCTGATTGTTACTTGAACTGTGTCATACAGTCCAAAAGGATATTCTGTGTATGTTGTCTCTGCTACCCTTCTTTTACGACTACAAAAGGCTAATCCTGTGCACACTGATTTATGTGGCAAATTCCTATTAATTTCAAGTACAGACTAGGACCTAAAGGAGTTTCTGCTCTACTAGAATCCATTTATTTTTAGCAGATCCACTAAACTATGTATAATTTACCCATTTCTGAGGCTGACTGTGTACTTAATAAGGAGGAGCTCACAAAATGAACAGTCTTGGCCCCAAAGAGCTTACCATCTACAACAGTGGTTCTCAAAGTTTTGTACTGGTGAACCCTTTCACATTGCAAGCCTCTGAGTGCGCCCCCTCTTATAAATTAAAAACACTTGTATACATTTAACACCATTATAAATGCTGGAGGCA